TATATATATATATATATATTGACTAATAATTATTATAACATGAAAAACATGAGCCAATTTTTTGGATTTTTCGCCGGGGGACATATCACTTAATCTTATGTATTTATATAATTAAATCCTAAAATTTAATTTTTTACATATATGCTACATTTTTTATATATGAGAGATATGTTTCATTTTCTAAAAAATTAAATAATAATATTTTTTAGGTGATATAAAATATTTTGATTGTATAAATGTTAGAGTGAGTTTAAGTGCTAGATATGCAATTACGTAGTAATTAGGTGGTATGTATGTAAATGCCAAAAAATTAATTCAATTAAATTTTGGATATGATTTCAAACTTATTTGAATCATGAATAAAGTTTGAACAATAAATAAATAGGGATTGTAAATGAATAAAACATATTTTATATGGAGTTTATCGTACAATAAGGAAAATAAATGATAAAGTTGTATCGTGTAGTCACAACTACTGTGACCGTAAATTACAAGATGCAACAAAATACACTTCAATAGACATAACATGGCAGTCATAGTGCACCAAATTTTAATGTAGATAAGATAAAGTAAAATATATAGTCTCTAATATAAGAAAATACATTTTTTAATCTGAATTTATCCTATGTAGCAAGTTAAATGGCCGGAGCAGTAGGGAGAAATAGAGAAAGGCGAATAAAATAAAAAAACACACATGTTCTTGCCCGGATGAAATGCGAAAAAGTAGAAGAAGAATCGAATGATAGAAGAGAAGATGAACATATTATCAAACATAAAAATTACTCCACCTTTCCACTAGCTAGAGTACTTGACATTTTATATACAGTATAGATGATTCTAGATATAAAAGATATAGAAGTAAAATATTGGACAAGAGTAGTAGAGACTGTGTTACTTCAGAACTAGGTGGGTTCATTATTAGCCCCTTCAAGCTGATGCTGCTTGGTTGTAGTGTCAGTTTGGTGCTAAGAAGCAGAAAACGGGGTGTCGATAAAGACTTTGTGAATATATTGGCCCACCGTTCATTTGTAGGGATATATTCAGTTGTCACTTTTGTGGAGAGAATTTTTTTCTCTAATGAAAAGATGATCAATTTCAATGTGTTTAGTGCGGGCGTGAAAGACAGGGGTAGCACATATGTCTCGCCACTTGCCGGATTGGTAGAGAGAAAAGATAGAAGTACATCTTATTAAATTTTTTTAGCACATATGCAAGATTACATTGTTTTTCATTACAAGTATTACATTAAATTAAAAAGAAAGATATTCTAGTTTACATCCGAATTAGAAGAAAAATCATGATAGTTGAAGGAGTTGATGCTACGGGAATTCATGCTTGGACTCTTAGCCAACAAGTGATTGAAAACTCAGCAAATGAGAGTCAAGCCCATGAAGATGAAGGCATCTCATGTGATCCTGTTGAATGTCATGCAAACCTAATAGTAGTAGTCTTAAACGTCAATTTTTATGGAGACGTAGTGGTGGAAAAAAAACATACATGTAGGATTTATACAAGAACAAATTTCACAAATCGTCTTCATATGCACCATCACGGCCTCCTCATCCACTACACTTAACACAATACTATCGATTCCTTATTCTATCAGATTGCTTAAACTTGAAAAAATTTTTATGAAATTCTTCAATATTTTGTTTTTGCAGCCAAAATTATTCAAGAAAATGTTAAGAGAGAGATTGTTATGTCAATGCTCCATGATAGACAGATTCAATACCTCTGTCACATCTTTCATGACAATGTTGCATAAGTTTTATATGTTATTCTCTACGGACGTTACTATTTTATTTTTTTCGTGAAATGTGAATATTATGGTTTTACCATCTAAGTTAATTTAAAATGTTGATGGGTTCACTATCTTTTTTTCCATTACAGTGCACTTCCCACCTGGATGGTGTATGTTATTTTTTTATTTATATTTGAAGGTCCATGATGTGATATAAGACCTTGGGGACTCTTATTGGTGGTCTTTATGTTGCTATAATTTTTGAAATATACGAGTTTAGTAACAAGGCAATCAAAATCCCTCTTTTTTCAAAATTATATGACCTTAGAGGGGTTTTTCTATATGGTTTTTGTGTGTCTAAGATTTCCGACAAGTACGAGTTCAATATTAATTGCATGGAAGCAACCAAGATCCCCTTTTTTCTAGTCCACTACCTTCTTATGCAGGCAGATTATTCATATAATTATACTTACTTTGAGACTTCACTTACTTTTTAACTTTATCTCTGTATTATTGATGTTCTTGGTATTTAATTTTTCTTGTGAACATATCGTTGTAACATTAATATGGACTATTTTTATTTAATAAACTCTGGTTTATCATGAAATACAAGTCTAAGGGATTGTAATGTCGTGTATTTACAATTTAAAAATATCACTATCTAGTGCCTTTATGGTCATATATTGCATCTGTGGATTGTAATGTTATGTATTTATATTACGATGTGAAGTCATCTATGAGAGAAAAGTTTATGGGTGTCTCAAAATAGATCAACAAAGAACTGTGACTTATTTAGATGAACTGATGAATTCGATGAGTCTTCTTTCAATAGTGATCAAATGTGAAGAGTTGCTTTAAAAAAAATTGTCAAGTTGACTTAATCATTTGGAATTTAAAATTAACATTAAAATAATATTATTTTTTAATACTATAATCATAATTTCTGTGTTACTTGCTATTTTGTGACGTATATCTGTTAATGTAATATTTTAAAATTATGACATTTTCGAAATTTATAATTTTCATTTCTATTGTTATGTATGGAAGGGCAAAATGATTATTTTAGAAATAATTGTAACATAACTGCTGCACAATTTTTCTCACAGCAGCTTCCCCAGTTTCCCACAGCAATTTCGTCGGCAACTGCTTCTTCAAATAGTTCTAACCGCCCCAAAAAATGTCTTCATCAACCAACAATATAAGAATATAATTCTTGCTTAGTAAAATAACAAGATTTTAAAAGTAAGATTTGCATGTACCATTCACTTTCTATATATTTGCATATGTAACACATAAATTTTGATTTTTATATACAGACGATCTTACCTATGCATGAAAATATGTATTTCACTTATTAAATGTTCAAATTGTATTATTTTTTTATGAGATATGAAATACTTCAACGGTATAAATATAAGAAATAAATTTCAAATGTTAAATATGTAAATATATAAGAATTAGGTGGTATGTATGTAAATGCACGCAGAGCACATGCAGCCTCCCATAATCGAAGCATCCATTAAGCACGAAAACAAATGCCAATTAAAACGTTCGATTTGATTAAAATTCTAATTTAAATGCTTTACCTTAACGGTCTTCATCACATCATATATTAATATCGAAATGCAAGCTTGGTTTAACTTATACGTTACCGTTTGAGTGAGACAAGGCCTCCTTGACTAAGCAAACCACCACTACAAGAAACCGTTGATTGATAAAGGAGTTAACTAATTATATACCATTTGTTTGGGGAAAAATTGGTTGAATGTATCAGATTTTTTTTTGAAGTAAATTGCATATAAAACAAAATTTAGAAATTTTATTAGAAAATTTTCCAATCCCACATTGTGGCCACTTGCCAATATTTTGGGAGGCCATCCCTCAGAAGGAGACAATGTGTTGTGAAGCCGACTTCGGTGATGATGGGGGCGTCGGAGTCATTCGATTTGGTCTCACTTATGATCGTCTACTCCTCTCTGCACCACGAATAATTAAAACCAAAAAGTGTAGAGCTCATTGAGACAAACTTAACATAGTACTATTATTATGAGTGTTTAGAAGTTCTACGTGCTATGAGCATACATATATAAACTTTAAAGTGCTAGTATATAAATATCGAAAGCTCATATGTATGTAAAAAGCCTTTTATTTAAAAAAAATATCAATGCTAATAAGATTTTGAATTTCATTTATAATTAGAATATTACATGAATAGATATTTAAATACTAAACGCATAAATTCATAATTAGCAACCAATGGCACGTACGCAAATTCCTACATTTAGGGCTCGTTTGTGGCAGCTTATTTGGTGCGGTGGCGTCATGTTTGGGTCATTTTATGCGTTTTGAAAACGCTGAAAACAGTGTTTTCACACCGCTCCTATCTATGTGTGGTAACTGCTTTCTGATAGTGGTATAGCTTTTCCATACTGTTGCCAATAAGTTGTCACCGCTCCTAAATAGGTGCGGTGTGAAAATGCTGTTTTATGCGTTTTAAAAATGCATAAGCTGTCAAAACACAGTTTACCCAAACAGGTCAGTGCATTTTCAAAACGGCACCGCACCAAATAAGCTACCTCAAACGGATCCTTAATCAAACAGCCTCCGGACAAATTACAAAATTATTAAGTCTCCTTAAAAAAATGCAGTACAAATTTGAATAAATTCCACATATATAATAATAATAATAATAATAATCATCTAAAAAAATAAAGCATAAGGCTAATTATGACAGAATATTTGTCAGCAACCCCGAAACCCAAAAATTTCCAAATTTTACTATTATTTCCCAGATGAAAGCCCCGAATCAAACGGCACTCCCGTCGCCGGCAGCCAAGTCCCGCCGGCGATGAAGTTCCCCACCGTGAACTGTGTCACTTGCGACGGACGACGAATGATATGAACTCCCTTCCATTTCACCCGAAACCTCAGAACTTTAGCTCCAGGCCCATTGTTCTGGAACTCAGCGTAGAACAGGGTATCCAGAGCAAAGTTTCCGTTGAATGGAATCCACCCGGCTCGATCAATTATGCTATCGATATAGTTCTCCATATAAACCGTGCGCGAGTAGAGCTGCCACGGCCGGCCGAGGTACGACTTGACTTGCCGGTGCACGGGCTTCAAATCCGGCGCGGCGAGAATTTTTGAGGATTGGATGACGATGCCTGTGTTCTGGTTCTGATCGGTGCGGCCTTGAGCTGTGATCACGTTGGCTTCTCCCTTGAGTGGTTTTCGGGCGACAATGTTGGAGTTTTGGATGACGACCGCCGCGTTGCCGAAGATGAAGTCGATGGTGCCATAGATGTCGCATTGGCGGTAGAATTGGCGCTGGGTGTAGACGCAGAGTGTGTCTTGGTAACCCTCGATGCTGCATCGATAGAAGACGGACTGGTCGGAGCCGGAGAGAAGGGCGACGCCCTGCGAGCCGGCCCCGTATGTGTTGCGGATTGTGATGTCCGTCGCCACGAATCTATCGCCAAATACGCCTGATTCATAGCAGTCAGGATGAATTATATTTGCAGCGAAATTCCACTCAAAAATCTGATTTTTTGTACAACAGTGCTGTAGACATGTGTTATGCTCTCCAACAATAAAGACAGTCCGTCAAATCCATCAAAGTGTGATTGATAACATGAAAAATAAGATTTTTTTATAATGCAAAAGAAGTTAAATGGTATAAAACTCAGAACATATATATGTTTTTTTTATATATATATTATGGTTGATGTTTTTTTATAAAAAAAATATAACTGAATGTTAAATTTATTTATTATTTATATAAATACATGTATATTAGGATATATTTATATGTATTTATAAATCTTTGCTATCAATGCTTTGAAAATAAACAGAATAACACTTGTTTTCGTTCAATCTCTACTTGCAATATGTATATACCAGCTAATAGTTGCCATCCTCTGTTATTTTTTATTTTCTTAAACTTTGATCATTGCAGCAAAAACTCAATTGTCCTTAATTAACTATATTTTAAGGCTAATTGAATAAAAAGTAAAGAATAATTATTATATCAACATATGAACATAAAAAACTTTGATTCATAATTTCCATATATTTATTATTTTTTCCGTTGCCATCTTCAGAACATGAACAAAAAAAAAAAAGATTTACAAGCACACAACACAAGTTCCGGTACATTTACATGTCTAACTCCTAAACATAAATTTTACATACTTACTCACTCATAAAAATATGTATTTTAAGCTAGTCCTTCATAAAATAGTAATATTTTTTAGGGAAAATTATATAGGCAGCACACAATTCTTATGGATGTACCTATCTCACACCTAAAATTTCACTTTTAAGCACATACTTTATGAATGAAAAGATGAAGGTGATTATTAAAAAGAAGATAATGAGCTTAATTTTTCATATGATTTTTATAAATATTAAAGTATTAGTGTGAGATAGATAAATCTATAAGAATTGGGTACTATGTATGTACTCATATTTTTTATTCGATACGAATGATTTGGTATGAGCAAAGCGTATGCAAATGCACCACCCTGCCTAGAAAAACAGAAAAAAAAAGCTCCTCCTTTTAATGAGTTCATGAAGTTCTTACTGATGGTTGCAGAGCTAAAGGTAGTATAACCAAGCGCAACACTTCGTCTGCCGGTGATAATTGTCTTCCCCTTCCCATCTCCGGTGATCGTCAGATCTCTAAGACTGCTCGCTATCTGCAAATACTCCGCATACACACCAATCTTAACATGCACTACAATTCTCCTACTGCTGCTCCTTCTCAGAGCCGCCGCCGCGTCAAGCGCAGCTTTAATGGTCCCAAAATTACCCGACCCATCCTTTGCCACAACAAAATCCGCCCGACCGGATGCCTGCAGCAGCCTCCTACCACCCTCCCACCCCCACCTCGGCAGCTCCACCGTGCCATTAAAGCTCGCGCTGTTGATGGCGAGGCAGTTGCTGATGAGGTCCGAAACTCTGTAGCTGAAGACGGGTTGCATGAACGAGGAGTTTGCTTTGAGCTCGGTGAAGCCTTTGTTGCACGTGTAGAGATTGGTGAGAGCGGCGCTGAGCCACGTTTGTGCGTCGACGGCGTTGCTGTTGTTGACGGAGAAAAACAGGGTGCGGTTAAGCTGGAGCACCGTGTTGCCAAACAGTTTCCAGCAATCGAGCCACGCTGTCTTCTCCGCCTCGCTGGAACATCTCGAGCCCAGTCGCCTGGTGCGGGCTTGAGCGTGGACGGCGAGATTGAGCGCCGCTTTGACGGAAATTTTGAAGAAATCCGACCGGCGGTGGACGGTGGAGTTGGGGTGGGAGAGGTAGAGGCGGCATGGCTCGGGGTGCGGAACGCTGCGGCACCAACAGTCGATGTTATGGGAGGAAGGGAGGGAGGTTGCGGGGAAGGAATGGGTGGTGATGCAATGAAGGGAGAAGAAGAGGAAGAAGAAGAAAAGGAGGGGTTTTGGCGGCCGGTTGAGTATCGCGGCGGTATCCATCAATGCGAAGGGAATGGAGTTATGGAGATGGAGTGGGTGTTCGAAGTTGCGTGATTTATAATGGAAGGGATTGGTTGCTTGAGGTGTATGTACGTTGGGGTTTGGATAGTATTTGATGAGGTCCGGTTAACTCGAATTTTAAAGCAGGGGAAATCCCGAAGTCAAGCTCTCTGCTTCGTTCGAGGATTTTTATATGTACTAATTGGCTGGTTAACCGGATCTGAACTTGGACGAGAAAGGCCGATTCAGTGGGAGGAAGTTATCATTCGGATCTGGATCGAACCCCGCTTACATTATTCGACTTTACTTACTTTTCCCAAGGGTATATATATATATATAAGAATCTCGAGTCAATATGTAATCTGTCTCCGGACGGCTGACATTTTCCTATGGATTATCTTTTTTAAGCAATGGTAATAGTGTAAATTACTTGTTGGCCCTCCTATCTATAAATTGAAGGTTTTCTCATGTAAAGGGGCCTTTGGGACTCCCCTATCTTGTATGCTCTTTTTTCATGGAATAAAATAGATCTAGAAGTTAGGGAACGCTCTGATTCGCACTCATGGGGGCAAGTCTTTCTCATCTCTCTCTCTCTCTCACTCATACACACACACACACACACACACTCACTCTCACGTTCCTCTTTTCTCAGTACAATACTATTCATTGAGCACGATCTACCAGATAGATTTGGATCCAACAATATATATATATATATATATATATATATATATATCATCTCTATTCTTAAAATTGAATATAGAGCAC